CCTGAAATCTTAAGGGCATAAGCCGGTTAAAAGCAAACGTTGGAGTTATCTTTGGCATTTGTGTTTCGATACTTTAATTAATGACAAAAAGAAAGTGTGAGAGAACAAACAGGAAAATAAAAAAATAAGAGGAATGAATGGACAAATTACTTAGAGAATGTGATGAGGCATTTAAACCTAAGGAAGGATTTGGTCAAGTTCAACAAACTATACTCGAGGTGATGAGTTTTAGGTCAACGTGACTCGATCCGACCTAATATGATTTGTTGACTCCTAATATCTAGACAATGTATCAACTTGGTCATATAGGTGTCAAATGGACTACCTCATGAGTTAGACTGAGATATGCTTCGATAAATCAAGTCAACTTGCCACTTTAGCTTAACCAAATGGTCAATAATGCCCTTTTGACTTGTTGAATCATTTCTTGTAAAAAAAAAATCATGTTGCCCTTAAGACTTTGAAATACCCTTATCAAGAGCCCTAAATTTACTATAAAAAATGATAATAAATAAACCAAAGAAATATAAAATGTAGAAAACATACTAAATTTATAATAAACAATCAATATAATGACTTTGAATAAAAGAAATTAATGTCAAGACGATAATTAGGTTCCACTTGTCTTAACAATATTCATAATCATATCATACTCTTAACAAAATTTTAATACAATTAGTTGCATTATGTTTTAATTCTTTGTTTTTTGTTTAATTAAAGTCAACTAGTTTACCTTTTTCTAACTTAGGCTCCATTTGTTTTGTGAAAAATGACTTCCGAAAAATGATTTTTACACTTTTAGGCATTTATTTGGCTAAAAATAGATTGATTAACAGAATATAAGACCATTTTTTAGAAAATTATATTACAGATTTGAAAAGGAGAAGATATTTTTCAAAAAAAATTGTCTATAAGTAGAATTATTTATCAATACTTTTGAGTATAATTTTAATAAATAAATAATATTATATTAATAAATAATATAATATTAATTAATTAATATTATAAAAATATATTAATAAATAATATATTATCAATAAATAATAACACTATTAATATAAATATATTAATAATATTATTAATAATAATATTAATATAATAACAAATAATATAAAAGAATAATAAATATTTTTATTTTAAGTATTTTTATGTTAACATAATATTTTAATGTTAAATATAATTATTAACATATAATTATTTTTTAATATTAATAATTTTAATAATAAATAATTTCAATATACTTTAATAATAAATAATTTTTAATATTTTAATAATCATATTAATACTATTTGAAAAAAAAATATTTTTCAAAAAACAATCAAATAACAAAAAATATTTTTCATTAACTTATTCAAATAATAAAAAATTTATTTTAATTCAAAAAATATAAATATTTTTTAAAATTATTTTTCACAAAACAAACGAAAACCTTAATTTACTTCCCATCCTTTAACCCACGACTTGGCAAATGCTTTTGCTTTTTCCTAAATTACTTATTGCACTACTTTGTAATATAGTTGGACTTTGGCCGCCTACAATTTTTGGTATTGGCTGATAAATATTACCCTCTCTCTCTCTCTCTCTCTCTCTCTCTCTCTCTCTATATATATATATATATATATATATATATACATGCTTTGTTTCTTTTTTTTTTTTTCTTTATGCAGGCACTCGAAGAAAATTATGTTATAGCTATTGTTCTCCTGTAAAAAAAACAAAAATCTATTAACTTGGAGCTATATAAGACTAGGTTTCTCTTTCATTTTATAAATCTCAAAATTTCAATGTGTGATATCTCTCTTACTTTATAAAACCAAGGAATTGTGTTCACATTAAAATCCAGGAGGTTCATTGGGATCCTTTCACCTTCATGAAGCACACAAAAATCAAAAGTCAAGAAAAGCTAGATTTCATAAAATTTCTGAAAGCCAGATCTTCTCAACATCTAATCTCCACCTACAACTTTGACTAAGCTTCAAAAAATTTGAGATTAACCAACTCAGTAATTAATTTCTTTTTTTTAGAAATATATATATATATATTTTTCTTGACACAAAAAGAATAAGTTTACAAAAGGGTATTACAAAATATAAAAGTGTTCATCTTAGGAGAATTTTAAATCGGACTACATAAATACCATGCATTACTTAAGTGAGAGTGAAGCAACTTGCATAATAAGGATATTACATTTGACAGGTAACATATATATTTGAAATATTAGAATGGGAAAAAAATAAAAATGATATAATTATTATTTTTTAATTTTTTGATATACTTGCCCTAATCTCTTTATCCTATATATTTATTCTAATGAAAAAAAAAATTGTGTGCATGAACTTATTCGAATTCATAACCTTAAAATGTCAATAAAAAGAATTATGAACATGAGTTCCTTAAATTTTTAATGATTAAAAAAAAGTTTATGAATATTTTTATTATAATTTAAAGGTAGAGGTGTAAATGAAGAGTTTTTGATGAATCATTCATAAATATGCTTAGTTTTTGTTTATTTATATTTGTTTATTAAATTTAATAAATGATTTTGAACAATATTTTTATATTTATTTATTAAACAAACCAAACACGAATAAAAAACTATTTGGTTCGCTCATATTCGTGAATAAAATTATTTAAAATTTATTTAAAACTTATTTGTTTATTGTTTGTTTGCTTTTTTTATAATAATAATAACAAAATTACATTTTTATCATTTATCTTAATCTTGTTTTAAGATTCGTCTATGTTTATTTAGATTCGTTTATATTTGTTTAAAATTTATTTGTTTAAATTTATTTTGTTATGATTTATTTATTGTTCATGAATATATTCGGTTTTTGAACATATTCAGTTTCTGTTCATTAATTTACCTTAACAAACAATCATGAACAATATTTTTATGCTCATTTATCAAGCGAACTGAACATAAATAAAGATTTGTTTAGTTTGTTTACATTCGTGAATAAAATTATTTAAAGTTCGTTTAAAATTCATTTATTTATTATTAGTTTGTTATTCTTTTATAATCATAATAAAATTACATTTTTATCATTTATCTTAATCTTATTTTAAGATTAGTTTATATTTATTTTGGATTCGTTTATATTTATTTAAGATTTGTTTGTTTAAATTTATTTGATTATGATTTGTATATTATTCATGAACATATTCAATTTTTATTCATTTATTAAACTTAACAAACGATTTTAAATAGTATTTTTATGTTTATTTATTAAACGAATTGAATACGAATAGATGTATGCTTGATTTATTTATATTCGTAAACAAAATCGTTTAAAGTTTGTTTAAAACTCATTTTATTTATTATTTATTTACTATTTGTTTATAATAATAACAAAATTATAATTTTATCCTTCATCCTAATCTTCTTTTAAGTTTCTTTTATATTCGTATGAGTTCGTTCATATTTATTTAGGGTTTATTTGTTTAAATTTATTTTGTTATAGTTTGTTTATTATTTATGAACATATTCATTTATATATATTTTGATTACATTCGTATAATGTTCACGAATTAGTTTATTTAACTTAATTGAATTAAACCCAAACAAACATCCTATTATATAAACAAATTAAACTTGAACGAACAGAACAATTTTTTGTCGAACACCTATCGAGTCTAAACACTTTTACAAATAAACGAATAAACCACAAAAATACGTTTGTTTGTTAATATTCAATTTATTTATAACTCTATTTAAATGTTATAAATGCTATTTCATTATAATAAAATATTTAATATAATACTTAAATTTTAAAAGTTTTTAATATAATATCTAAAGTATAAATTTGTTAATAAATATAATAATTAAAAGATTATTTATTTATCCTGAATCATCATTTGAAACTAGTTACATTAATATTAATGTCACATTACTTAATACATTTATAGTTATTATAAAAAAGAACTTTTAAATATAAAAAATTTTTTTAAAATTTAGTATTATATTTAATATTTTTTTATAATTTAAAAATTATTTATATAAAGAATAAATATAAACAAAGAGACAACAATTTAGATTTGAATTGAGAAATTTAAAGTAAAAGTTTAGTAAAAATTAAAGCCTGCTTGACTTGAAAATTGAAGTAGGCCATAGCCATAGAGTTGATGGATCTTTCTACGCATTTCTCGAGTAAAATCAGAGAGCGCCGCTGGATGCATTGCTGGGACCATGGTTTTACTGCTTCGTTATTACTATGCCTTTTTTTTTTTGGTATAAAATTGTAATTAGGCTTAGGCCTGGGGGACCATTAGATTAGTAGCAAAAACGCGTCGTTTTCTGTTTTGTTTGGTCAGGTAAAATGGCAGTTACACAACCGGAAAGGTCAACTCTCAAGGACAAAAGGGTACTTTCGTAAGAAAGTTCCTGGTTAGTATTTCATCAGGAAAGTATGTCTTCATTTTTGTTAAAAAAAATAAAAGTTTGATTGCCCCATTTAAAGATCAATAATGATTGATATTTATTTAAATAAATTTTATTTTTATTTATTTTATATTAATTTAAAATTATTAAAATTTAATTATAAATAAAGTAACCATTAAATAAATTAATAAAAGCTTTTTATACTTTCTAACTAATAAAGAGAATCTTTTTCCATTTCATTAACTCTCACAGTGAAATTTAATAAACAAAATTAAAAAAATCGGACAAATTAAATTAAATGAAGAATTTCATAAAAATTGGAGCCAGCTTTTTTAAATTTTTCTTAAATTTATGATTTATCTTTAAACCTTCTACTAATAAAATAAAATTACGTACAAAAACTTTCTTAAATCAATAACCTCCCAGGCCCCGTACTCACTGAGTTAAAAAGTCTGGCTTCGTGAACTAGATTTAATAAAATATTAGGAGTTTCGTGAACTAGATTTAATAAGGATTTGGAGTCCGTAGTTTTGCTTCTCTACAGAGAGAAAACGAAGGAGGTCGAGCGAAAGCGCGTCTGACACAGTGGAGAGAAGAACAAACAACAACAATGGTGAGCTATGCTTGCTCGCGATTCCTCTTCGTCTTTCCTTTACTGTTTGTTTATCGAGAAAAAAAACTATCCGTCCTACTTGGAGAAAAACACTTCTTGCTTTTTTTATCCAAGTTTTTGAAGTCCATTCGGTGTATTCTTCTTCGAAAACTTTCAAAATCTGATGTCTTTCGTATTTTTTTGCTTCCAAAGATTTTAATGATTCCTTTTTTTTTTCTTCAATAGTTTTCTTCTCGGTGCTAAAAAAACACTACATTCATTTCTGAATTTTCTAAAATTTTCGTGATTTTCTGTTTAATTTGGAGGATAAATAATTAAATTCAAGTTTTTTATTTCTTAAATTTTTGGAAAATATTTTCTACAAAAGCTCTTACCTTTCCATCCTCATAGTTCAAAGATGAAAAAAATAATGGTTGAACACTGCGTAGGTTAAAGTCCGTACAGGAAGAAGATTTTGGGTTTTTCTTTTTTTTTTTTTTCTTTTTGTGAGATTAGGGTTTTAAATCCCCGGCAAAGATGGTTTCTGCTAAAAGTCTGGTATTTTAGTTGCTTTTTTTGGTCCATTTTGATTGAGCCTTTTCTTTTATGAGAATCTTCTTTTCTTGCTTTGGGCTTTTCCTTCTATCTCATCTTTTCTCTTTTCTTACTGTCTTCTATATATTAAGTATTGTCAGTTTCGAGTTTTTATAATTTAAGCTGTGTTTGCTTTGATTTTGCAGTTGGTGCATATGTGTCTGAAATCCCCGTTTTAGCAAATCATAATTATAATTTATGCAACCATTTTGGAGGATTTTAGGATTAGTGGGAGTAAATGTCGTTCCGAAGTATAGTTAATGATGTGAGGGATGCTTTCGGCAGCTTATCTAGGCGTAGTTTTGAGGTGAGGTTGCCTGGTCATCATAGGGGAAAATCTCATGGCTCAGTGCTTGAGTTGCATGATCAGCCTGTGGCTATCCAGAATAGCCGCTGGGCAGGCCTCCCTCCTGAGCTGTTGCGTGATGTGATCAAGAGATTGGAAGCAAGTGAGAGTACGTGGCCTGCTCGTAAGCATGTTGTTGCTTGTGCTGCAGTATGTAGGTCATGGAGGGAAATGTGCAAAGAAATTGTTAGATGTCCTGAGTTCTCTGGAAAAATCACCTTTCCAGTTTCTCTGAAGCAGGTTAGTTCTCTGAATTCTTTTTTTTTTTTTTTTAATTTCAAGCCCGATTTGAACCCGCACCCAAACCTGCTGAATGTTACCTCTTAAAGGTGGTGGCTGAGCTAAGCTCCTAGTTCTCTAAATTCTTTATGCTCTTCTTTCTCGCTAACAAGATATATTTGTCAGATAATTAATTGTGAACTGATTAATAATGTTTTTGTTAAGCTTCTTGGTGGCGAAACCATTTTATTTTGATATAAATGTGTTTATACATATGTGTTTTAACTTCTAGAGTTGAAATTTCTATTATAGAAGTGGTGACTGACAAAGTTTTCTTTTGTTAATCAATTACAGCCTGGGCCGAGGGATGGAACCATTCAATGCTTCATTAAGAGAGACAAGTCTAAATTAACTTATCACCTTTTCCTTTGCCTTAGTCCTGGTAAACTACTCTTTCCCGTCCTTTAAAATTTGTTGGCTTAGTCATGGCCTACCTTCCTCTGGTGTTTTATATGTTTCCTCAGTGGCCTTGAGCAATAGAACTAATTAATTTTTACCACTAATTTTTCTTTGGTTACAAGTAACTATAGTAATATTAAAGTGGCTAACCAAGCTGGTCTCACCAGCTAACCTAACACCAACTCAATTGGTAATTTTACTTAAAAATTAAATTAAAGTTACAATAATAAAATGTAATTAAAGGTATTTATATCATTCACTTTTTAAAAAATCTAGCCACGCATCTGAGAGAACCATATGTTTTTTTTAAAAAAATCTAATTTATTTATCGACTTATTTTTTGTCACCCACATCGTGGTGTACAATATCTAGTAGTGTGGTTAATAATGTTTATTTGTTATTTTAAATTTCAAATTCTCTTGTTTATGAAGATGCTAATATGGCTGTGAAAAGCATCCCATACGTGCGGTAGTAATTCTTTGACTTGCAATCATTCTCCCTCTTGTTCCCTCTGAAGATGCCTTCTAATGAAGATGAATGTAAAGTGCAATAAACTATTTGTTTTAGCAAATTCTTTCTCTAGCTGTAGGCTTGCATGTGTTTTGGCTATGTATAACCTTGTAAATCTGCTTCAATTTGATTGTCTTGCTGACTCCTCCAGTCTAGTTAGTTTTTAAATAATTTGACAATTCTAGACAGTAAATGGCTACTTCTGATTCTAATGGTCCTGATGTATTTTTATCAAATTTAGGGTCATTTGATTCAAAAGTTGAGAGCCTGGTGGAAAAACTGATTATTCACACATTTGAGTTCATCTATTGAACATGAATGTGATGGAATTCCTTTGTATACTCGGTTGCTACACCTCCAGTTATTTCTTTTGGTTAATGCATGATTTCTTTTTGCAAGTAGTTTGATTCCAAGTATAAATGGCATCAGGGTTTGAGTAGATTTTCTGTTGGCATGCTATATGATTTGTGGCTGAGCTGTGTTGCACAAATAGAATGTCTGTTGTTATGTTCAAGTTTGAAGTTTATAGCAAGTTTTTTACTTTAAACTTTTAATAAGCCATGTATGTTAGGATTAAAACCCTATTTTCAGAAAGCGATAATAAACAACTACGAAGAAAAATTGGAATAAACGAGATTTATAGTGGTTCATTTTCAACGTGAGAGCTACATCCACTTGCAGCTGTTGCAGATTTTTCACCATGAAGAAAGAGACATTCCCAAGTGTGATAACACCTTAAATTGGTGGCCCTCTAAATGTAAGCATAAATAGGGCAACCAAATTACATGTGTGAAAAACCCAAAATACCCTTGATGTTCTTACATATAAAATAAGGTCATTCTACGTATTTACTCTACCTAAGGGCAAACAATGTCAGGGTGTCTTAACATTGTATACATTGGGTTGGGTTCTAATGTCCTTATTTGCTGAAATGAGTTGAATTTTAACGCCTGTGTCTCCATGCAATTTAAACAAGGCTTGTCAGTCATGTCTGCTTCATGGTGGCCCGGGATAATAATTTTTGATAGTATGTTTTTTACTTCCCTTGCTAGGAGGCGAATTATTTCTCGTATTTTGTCACCTTAATTCTAACTAGCTATAGCTAGGACATTATCATGCTGTTAGTTGTCTGAGATACTGTTCTGACCTCATGCCTATGGGTATGTAACTTTTTGTTTTCTATTTACCATTGTATTTGTTATGTAACTTTAGTCTTTGTTATATTTTGCAGCGTTGCTTGTTGAAAATGGGAAGTTTCTTCTTTCCGCAAAACGAACTCGTAGAACTACTTGCACAGAGTATGTAATCTCTATGGATGCGGATAACATATCGAGATCTAGCAGCAAGTACATTGGAAAACTTAGGTAGGATTTCTGGTACCTTTATTGATGTTGCTATTTTTTATTTTATCTGGCTTTGAATGCAGAGATTGCTAATGCATCTTTTATGTATGTTAAATGCTTGACAATTTTGAGGAAGGCAATAGTTAACATTCTCCTGGAGATGCCCTCTACTTTGTTTGTAGCAAATATATGACTTTTAGGAACACCTTAAAGTGCAGTTTTCATCTACAGGTCAAATTTTCTTGGTACCAAATTCATAATTTATGACACACAACCCCTGTACAACAATGCTCAGCTTTCACCGCCTGGCCGGAGCCGAAGGTTCTATTCCAAAAAAGTCTCTCCAAAGGTTCCTACTGGTAGCTACAACATTGCTCAGGTTTCATATGAGCTGAATGTGCTGGGTACTAGGGGGCCTCGTAGGATGCATTGCACTATGCACTCAATTCCTGCCTCAGCCCTTGAACCAGGTGGCGTTGTCCCTGGTCAGCCAGAGCTTTTGCCTCGATCCCTTGAAGACTCATTTCGGAGCATCTCTTTCTCAAAGTCAATTGACAATTCATCTGAGTTTAGCAGTGCCAGATTCTCGGACATTGTTGGAACCTGCTATGAAGAGGATGAGAGAAAGGAGAGACCTTTGATTCTCCGGAATAAACCACCACGATGGCATGAGCAGTTACAGTGTTGGTGCCTGAACTTTAGAGGTAGGGTGACTGTGGCATCTGTCAAGAATTTTCAGCTGATTGCAGCTAATCTGGCAGCAGCTGGCACCCCAACACCATCACAGCCAGCCCACTCTGACCATGATAAGATTATTCTCCAGTTTGGTAAAGTTGGCAAGGACATGTTTACCATGGATTACAGATATCCTCTCTCTGCATTTCAGGCTTTTGCCATCTGCCTGAGCAGCTTTGACACCAAATTGGCATGTGAATAGATGAAAAAGTGACATGTTAAGCAAATGGAACATGTAGCTGGGATATTGGGTCTCTTTGCTTTCCAGCCTTTATAGGATGGGGTGCTTGTATGCTGTCTATGTACAACAAATATCCAGAGACTGGCAAGCACAGTACATTTGTGCGCCTCAGGATTCTTAGTTTTTGCCTTTTTTTTTTTTCCTATTTTCTCCGTTGTGGTAGATTGCTTGATTGCTTTATAAACGGTTTCATTGTATGTCTTCAGTTCAATCTTTGATGTTCTAATCATACTACCTGAAAATTAGAGTTGAAATATGGAAGTTCACCGCGTTCAGTCTCTCTTTGGAGCTCGGTCTTTATTATATTAGCGTTTCGTTCCAATTATGAACTTGCCAACCTGGTTTAAGCAGCTACATCTTTTATTCTCATAATAAACGATTCAGATGTATTATTAATGTATTATATATTTGTTTTTTTGTAATTTTTAATTTATCTTTAAATTTTTATTTTTATTTATTTAGTTGAAGAAGATATTATATTCATAAAATTTTTTGAATCTCAATTTTAAAGTTTTAATTTTTATATTCATTTGATTGGAAAGGATGTTAATAAATTTTTTCGAATTTGTAATCTTAAAATCTTAATTTCAATAATGTCAATTTGATAATAAATTTTATGTTTGTTATTTAATACTTAATTTTGTAGAAAATGGAAAAAGAAGTGTTCTCGTGGCACCTTTCCTTTCTTTCAAAATTTTTTTTATAATTTATTTTGTGTTTATTTTAATTTTTTAATTAATTTTTTATTAAATAAATTTTATAAAAGAAAAAAAATCAATGAAGGTAGATAGGGATAATGAAACAATCCATATTCAATTATTTTTTATTCAAACTAATCTAAACATAAATGCATTTTTTATAAAAAAATTTGAGATTAAATCGAGTTTTAAAATAAAGTCAAGTTGAAAATGAATTTAAGGTGTTTGGGTTCATAGTGTCCGCACGATATTTCTCTCTTCTCTCTCTCTTTTTTTTTTTAATTTTTAAAGCTGTTTTTTTTTTTTTTTTGGGTTACTTTTGGGGAAAGGATTTTTTTGATTTTCACTACTTAAAAATAAATGTAAATTTCCACAACATTATCCAAAGGTAAATAATGTACTTTCAATTAAATTAATGATTGAATTTAATGATTTTAAATTAAACATAAAAATTAATTAAAAATATAGAAATAGTTTGAACAAATATTAATCATAATTTAATTGTAACTGCATTTATCACTTTTGGATAAAGGAATAAAAATATTCATTGATTTTTAAGTAATTAAGAGAATCCTTTTCCACATTTTTTTCAAAAAAAAAATTTATTTTTGCTTTTTATTAGATAAATTTTATAATAAAAAAATTAATTAAAATAAAAATAATAAAATAATTTATATTCAATAAATTTTGATTCAATTGATATTATTTTTTAATTTGAGATAATTTGATTGAGTATTTTTTTATACTAAGCTCAGGTAGAATATGGTTTTAAGTGTTACCCTTCCATCATGGTATATATATATAAAATATTTTATTATTTATTTAGTTTTATATTGATATATTAAAAATATTATTTAATTCTTTAATTTAAAAAATTTATAAGCCATTTCATTTGGCTTTTTTTTGCTATTTTTTTAAAAAAATTTATTTATTAGATAAATTTTGCAAATAAAAAATCAACAAATATAAAGATGAAAAATAATTTATATCATATAAGTTTTAATTTGTTACGATTTAATATATTGATACAATTTTTTTAAATAAAGATTGTGTTAAATTTGCCTTTTAAAATAATTTGGACAAGTGGGTATCGATTTGAGATGTTTTGTTTTAATCTCTTCGAGGTATATAAAAAATATATTTTATTATTTATTTAATATATATATTATATTAATAAAAATATTATTTAATATTTTAATTTAACAAAAAATTATATTTATCTATAATTAAATTATAAATTATATAAAAATAAATAAACTTATATTTATTTATATATTATCATCCATTAAAATTTAACATAAAAATTTTATTTTTTTTCATATTTAAAATATAATTTAAAAATAAAAAATTATTTCGTAGTGCAGATCTAATTTTAATTTCTATAAAAAATATAAAATAGTCCGACTTTTAAGGTAGGTTGCTTGTCGTATTCAAGCTTGTGCTTGGAGTTCATGTCTTGGGTCAATACGGCCGGTCATAGGCAGGAAAGCTATTCCCACTTGAGGGGCCTTTTTTACGGCAAATTCTATGTGTTGCTGTCCACCTCTTCTTTGTCTGAGCCTTTTAACTGAAACCCGTTGGCAGCAACTGTCCGTTACGAAATTCTATACAGATGCTGGATATTCCTTATGACAAAACAACTGCAAGGCCTCAAACTTCCTCAGACATGTTGGCCCAGCTTCACCACTCACGACGAGCTCAGCTTATCCACCAAAGCTTACAGCCGTTGTTATCCTCTCTTTGACAGCCAGATTAATGTATTGATGCTAACTTATGAACTACGTTCTTATTATTTGTGTTGAAATCTTTTTGTAAGGACGATAACTTTGAATTTCAATGGCATTATTTTTAATATTTGATGTCGTTAGGATTGAATTTTAATTATTAAAATTAAAATTTTTATATTTTATCATCAAATTATATAATTATTTTGGTCTCTTACTATGATTGGATTATATTTTACGTTGATCGTCATCTTATTGCAATCCTCTTCACTTTATTTTTAATATACATGAGTGTTGGATCGTTAAGAAAAAAACATGAAAAAATTAAGAATATTTGAAATGAAGATGTTTAGATAGATATGTAATAAAATTAAAAAAGATAAAATCATAAATGAAGAAATTCAAAAAATATTAGAGATAATCCAAAATGAAAAAAAAAAAAAAACCATTTGAGATGGTTTATATTTGTGAAATGTAGGTCTATGTGTCAATTAGATGAAATGAACTTCTAATTTTGGAGAGATTAAAACTTTTAAAAATAGATCACGAAAGACGTATATATAAATAATAAAAAATATATGAAGATTAAAAAAATATATAAAAGGATTATTTTTATAAAAAGATTAATATATATAAAAATATAAAAAGATTAATATAAATAAGTGGTTCAATAAAATTTAAAATTACTACCTAACATGATTTTTTTTACCTTTCATATAGACACCCTTAGAGTTATTGGATATAAGTTTGTAAATCATATTATTTTTGATAATTTAAAATTAAATTTTAATTATTAAAGATTAAGAGTTTAGTGTTTTGTCATCAGATTATATATGAATGTGGATACCTCATGACATCTGGATCATTGAAAAACTTTTGAATATTGGATATAAACTAGTAAACTAACTAATGGATTTGATCTCTTTAATCTTTTTGGAACATAGTTTCACCAAGCTTCAAATTTGAAACCTCCAAATTATAAGCTGTTGGATTGAAGTTCTCCAAATTAGAAGCTGCTGGTTGAAGTATCACATCGGGGACAATGGATTGGCATCTTTATGCCTGCTAATTGATAGTATTTGTTAAAAGTATTTTGTTATCCAATTCATTTCACTGTCTTTGTCAATCCCATGTCTCCATCCTTGCAATATAATACTGATTTGACAGTTTAAAGATGCCCACAAGCAAAAATTCCATACTCCCTTTCCCTTAACCGTCTCTGTCCTCGTAGGTCTTTGACTGAGAACCATCACAGACAATCACGACAGATTTTGATGGAAACAAATATCAATAAAATCATGTTTCTGACCAAGTTTAAGGGGATTTTTTTTTCTTTTTTTTTTCAGTCTTGGTCTTGTAATTTTGTGTTTGTTTTGGAATCAAGATGGTCAGTGGCCCAGAAAGGTTTAACGTGTCTGACGACCTTGGTAGCAAGAATTGGCGGTTGCATTGTTTTTAGGAAAAGTTGAGCACTTTCAGAAATCCATTCAGTAACAATCTATCTCTGCTCTATTACTCCATTCAATAAAACACACCGATTTGGAAAAGCATGATCAGCATTCTTATGTTCTAGGACTCAGAATCTAGCTAGAGTGGTGCCAAGATCTCCCCTAACTTCACTTATATTTTCTAAAAGGTTTAAGTAAAGAAAAAAAAGGCTGGGTCTAAAATTGGACCTTGAAGGTTAAGGGAGATGGGAAAGTTGGTTCACGGTTGGACCTTGAACATTAGCAGGATTATAACCATTAGGTTGATTCTAAATTGCTTCTGACATATGGACAAAGGAGAGGGGCCAGAAGGCTTTATCCTTATCCCAGGACTAAGCTCAGTCGTCAGATTTGTTTGCGGAATTCGAGGCCAGGGACTTCATCTTTAAGTGAGATCCTCCTTGGGACAGCAAATGGGACACAATGTGGTTCTTGGCCTGACTGACAAGTGGCAAGAAGGGCATATAGCTTGAAAGGTGGACAAACTAAAATGAATCAAATACCACCATTGAACGTGTTAGTTTCTCTTCTGGTTGATTCGTTGAGGGATCGGCTGCTACTAAACATGCCTTTCAGATTTGGAGTCCCAAGTTTCAGCTTTGCCACTTATCCTTGAATCAGAGATTGACAATAAGGAAACCCTGTATGAACAATCACAAAGTAAACCTATGTTGAAATGATGGTTGTCCTAGTGCGTTGTATTGTAGTAGATAACAATTGTATATTCATACAGACCAAAAAAAAGACCAGAGCTGACAACAAAACTAGCTAGTCCGCATGGAAAACTCCATCTAAAACTCTCAACTCAAGCATTTACATCATCAAGCAGCATATTTTATCAATGCTGGAACTGCTAATAAGGACCGCTCAAAGACCAGATTTGTCCTTTGCTTTGCAAAGGAAGCTTCGAATTAACATCTGACAGAAATTCTTCACTCACCTGGAGATTGAATTCAATTGCACTAGCCAACGTATTCAAGATGCAGCAGCAAACATGAAACTCATACGTACTGATATATATAACCAAAAATTGTAGGGAAATATAAAATTTTTATAGAGTTCACTCATGTGATTGAGCAACGGGGGTTCAACCCTTTTTGACAGATTCTGAGAAGTGAGCACTCCTTGCAAGTTGCCGTGGACCCTTCATTGAAGTGTCAATCTGCACTTAAGAAACCCTTCTTTGCTTGTTCAGGGAGGCATATATTTTCTACAACTGTTTCTATGAACTCCAATTAAGACCATTGAATGATGATAAATGTGGAGTTGAAGGATCTGTGTTTCTCTCCCCTTTTCTTCCTCATGCCACGCGCGCTGTATATCCATATACATCTGTCAATGAAGGAACCTCAAATTGAAAATGGTTACCGATAGAAGTCACATTTCTATATATTATAATAATGAGGACTGGGAAGCAACCTTTCCTGTCCCACTCGAACCCAGAAAATTAACACAATATCAAAGCTCAGGTTCTATTCCGT